TCTAGATTATAAGAATTAGATATATTTAGATTTCCATCACTTCTTTTAAAATAAAAATTCTAACAATAAAATTAATGTAAATTTTATTTAAATTGAATTCAGTGTAAATTACTATTAAACTAAATTTTTTGCTATGTTTTATTAATAAATATTGATAGTATAAGTCAATACCATCATCATAATTTTATTTTTAAATACAATATGATCATATTAAAACATATATGTTTAATTATTTTATCATCAGATATAAAACAAATGTAATTTTTTTCATTTTTCTATCTGGATTGCCGATATCATTTATAAATTTCCATGTATAGTTCATTCATGGACATGAAGAGTAGCCACTCGTTTAAACCACTTGTTACAAACTTTACACATATAAACTCTTCGAACTGTATCATGAATCACCTGTTGATGTCTGCGCTACATTTTGCTTTCCTCTGCTTATTTGAAAGAAATCTAAACAATCAAACGTCTGTATATTTACTTTTACAATTTGGTACCACACAATAACACATTCATTAAAGGTTTGAGTACTTATATACGTAATAATAGTCGACTCACACAGGAACTACGTGTGAAGTGTAGTCTATCGATAAGTCCCAAAATGGCCACTGCCGCATAGAATCACGAGAGCGTGTCCTGACCTTCTTATATAAACCTTGAATAAATGTGGAGAGCGGGTTGAGACGCGACTTCGCAAGAGAAGCGAGATGACGGTTGAAAAAGAACGCGCGAAAATACGGAAGACGAAAAAGAAATCCTACATTTGTTTTTTTTATAATAATCACAATATTTTAATGTAATTTGTATTCCTTAAACGTTTCTGTTATCCAAATCTTTCTTCTCGCAATTAAAGTTTTTCAGAGACAAAAAAAAGTCTCATAAAAGTGGGGGCTCGCACGGGATAGGAATAGGCTTAACTCGAGGAGATTTGACGAACTGCGCTTTGGTTTTGTGAGTACGCTAAACATTTCTGTTTTTGTGAAAATTTCAACGTTGGAGAGTCCGAATACATCGGCATTCTAAAAGGACTTTGATTTACGTTTCGGCAAACCATGAGTAGTTCTAAAATTCTACTTTTAAGATGGCAACGCTCGTAGAAATTATCTGCGAAACACTAAAGTCGACCTCGACAAGTTTGATAAAATTGTTGCATCAACTTGTATTCGAAGAGGTTGGAGATAGGAATAACAGAAAAAGATTGAGAACCTTTGGATGGAAAATTGAATCCACCAAAGAGGATGAAAACCAGAAAAGAAAATGCATTATATTAACTAAGGAGAACTTTCGATTAAACGACCTAGTTGTTTTGTGCAAATTATTAAATGTTAAATATGACGAAATCGTCGAAAGGCTTGTTCTTTCTCTTTCTGATTTAAAATCATTACAATCAAATCTGATCTTGGCAGACGTTGTACCGAAGACGAAGATGTATTAGAATTGTTGATCAATAAAAAATATAAAACAATGGGATCGGTAAAAATATAGCCTGATGAGGCTCTAACGGCGAAATGCATTTGAAGAATCTTTTGGAAAATTTTTGGAGAAGTTTGAAAATAATAAAAGAAATAACAAAGATACTATACTTCAGCCAACGTTAATTATTTGTCTGCTGATATANTAACGTTAGTCGGTACTTATAGGTTAAGAGGACGCCAGTCGGAAATAGCGATCAAAGTCACAATTTCGAATAAAAATATCAAAATGACAATAGACTAGTAAATTTAAATCTAAAAAGAAAAAAAGTTACTGATAAGGTTGTAAAGATGAAAAAAAAATTAATTAGGATGATAGATATCGCCTATTTGCCGGTTAAAGTCCAGATACGTATACCGTCATGGCAGCTCATCTCTGATTCCAGCTAACAAAAGGAAACAGTGGGACGCATGTTCTAACCTAACCTAACCTATACTATTAATTTGATTGGTAATAATTATGGTAATTTATTAGAATAGGTTAGGTTAGGCTAGAACGTGCGTCCCCACTGAACTGGCGTCCTCTTAACACATAAGTACCCGTTTTTCATCATTAAGTAATTTCATTATTTCTATTTATGTGTGTTTTGTACAGTGAGCAATGCCAAGAAAACGCATAGGGGCTGATTTGCGCCGTAATACAAGTAGATCTAGAAGCATGAAAAATAGAAGATCCCAAAGAACCGAAGAACAAATCCAGCAACAAAATACTGATGCACGTATGAGCATGGCGCAATTGCGTCAAGAACAATCAGAAGATACACGAGCTGAATGCAATGAAGTAATAAGATTAGAACGACGACAATCACGCCGTTTCACAGTCAATAGACGCAGAACAAATGACCAACAACACCAACAGGTACATCGAGCATTTACATCTGATTCATTCCTGCGTCTAGCATCCAAGTATGAGCCCGATATTGAATATTATGCTCATTCAAAAGTGGTAATTAGTGCTATGGACAAGGAATGTCTGCATTGTCATGCTCTCAAATTCAAAAATGAGCCAGCTGGGATGTGTTGCACGTCAGGAAAAGTGCAACTACCTGAAATTGAAACACCACCTGAACCATTGAACAGTTTACTTATTGGCACGGATCCAGATTCTAACGTGTTCCTGAAGTCAATTCGAACATTCAATTCATGCTTTCAAATGACATCGTTCGGAGCAACAGAAATAGTTCGAAATACTAATGCAAATAGTCAACAATACAATTCTACATTCAAAATCAGAGGCCAAGTTTATCATAAAATGGGCTCATTGCTGCCAATGCCAAACGAACCACATAAATTTTTACAAATCTACTTCATGGGCGGCGAGGATTCCGGAAGCGCACTTGCCAATCGCGTGAATTCACGTTGTCACTATAATAACCTTGATTCATTTTTTGCCAGACGCATCATCAGCAAGCTAGACGCTCTATTGAACAAGCACAATGAATTGTTGAAAATATTCAAATCACATATGCACAAATTACAAAGCGATAATCACGCTATTGTCATTAATCCTGATAAAACACCAGCTGGAGAGCATATTCGTAGATTCAATGCACCTGTTGTTGATGACGTTGCTGGAATCATGGTTGGCGATCGTACAGGTGCACGAGAAATTGTGATTCGTAAAAGAAATAATAATCTTCAGTTCATTGCTGATACACATCATTTATATGACGCTCTCCAATATCCGCTAATATTCTGGAAGGGACAAGACAGATATTGCATATACATAAAACAACGAGATCCCGTATCAGGTACTTCATTTATTATGAACTTGATCATTAATCATTTAACAAAACAATTACATTATTGAACGTAATTAATTTAAATTAATATTTATGAATATATTATTACAGGAGCTGAAACAAACAAGAACGTTAGCTCAAAGGATTATTATGCGTACCGATTAATGATTAGACGCGGCCTGGACAACGTCATTCTACGATGTCGTGAGCTTTGTCAACAATTCATGGTCGACATGTACGTGAAGATAGAGGGCAAACGACTACGATACTTACGATATAATCAACTCAAGCTGCGTGCGGAAGAGTACAGTCACTTGCGAGACGCTATTAACAACAACGCCAACGTCGCCAAAATTGGTAACTCTGTCATTTTACCATCATCGTACGTAGGCAGTCCACGTCATATGCAAGAATATATACAGGATGCTCTGACTTTCGTGCGTGAATATGGACGACCGTGTTTATTTATCACATTCACATGTAATCCGAAATGGCTAGAGATTACATCTTTGCTATTGCCTGGCCACAATGCAATACATCGTCATGACATTACAGCACGTGTGTTCAGACAAAAGTTGAAGTCTTTAATAACTTTCATTACTAAATTACATGTATTCGGTCCCACACGTTGATTGCTGTATTCGGTTGAGTGGCAAAAGCGAGGATTATCTCATGCACACATTTTGGTTTGGTTAATCGACAAAATCCGTCCTGAAGAAATCGATAGTATCATTTCTGCGGAAATTCCAGATCCGTCTACTGACCAACTGCTGTTTGATATTGTTACAGCAAACATGATCCATGGTCCATGCGGTACTCTTAATCGTTCATCGCCTTGCATGACAGATGGAAAATGTACTAAAAATTTCCCTAAAGATTTCACTAATGATACGATCACAAATGTTGACGGATATCCGATATATCGTCGAAGAAATCCCGATAATGGCGGACAATCATTTATTAAAAATATCAGCAACACAGACATTGACATTGACAATCGTTGGGTGGTGCTGTATTCGCTTCTGCTCAGCAAGACATACAATGCTCATATTAATGTTGAGTTCTGCAGTTCTGTGAAGAGCATCAAATACATTTGCAAGTATGTCCATAAAGGCAGTGATATGGCTGTGTTTAGAGTGGAAAATACTAATGTGAATGCTCCTCCAGTGAATAAAAACGATGAAATAATGCTCTACCAAATTAATCGGTACATCAGCTCCAATGAAGCTGCTTGGCGTATCTTTGGTTTTCCAATTCATGAACGGGATCCAGCAGTTGTTCAGTTAGCCGTTTATCTTGAAAACGGTCAGCGTGTATTTTTCACGAACGAGACAGCGATTGATCGTGCTATAAATCCACCTGAAACTACACTCACTGAATTTTTTAAATTGTGTAATCATGCAGATGATTTTGGTGCCTTTGCACGAACATTACGCTATTAACAAGTACCACGTTATTTCACATGGGCTCAAACAAAAAAATGGATGCCCCTTCAAGCAAGGCTCACCAGTTGATGCATGTCTCAATTTATTTAAATCAAACGCCTTGGGCCATTATTTACAGTCAATCCAAGACACACTGAGTGCTTTTATCTTCGACTGTTGTTGGTTAATGTTACTGGCCTATTATCATTTCAAGATATACGTAAAGTGAATGGGCAACAGTATCCAACGTATAAAGATGCATGCCTTGCACTCGGCTTGCTGGAAGACGACAACCAATGGGAATGTATGCTTGCTGAAGCTGCATTGAACTTTACAGCAATACAAATTCGTCTACTATTCGCTATAGTGTTGACTACATGTTTCCCAGCCCGAGCACAGATATTGTGGGATAATCACAAAGATTCAATGACTGATGATATATTGCATCAACATCGAACACGGTGCAACGATCTAATGATAACATTCAGCGACGCTATGTACAATGAAGCATTGATTGCTATTGAGGATCTTTGCATTGTCATTGCCAACTTATCACTCAGTCATTTTGGTATGAATTCGCCAAATCGAACTGCATCTGATTTAATGAACACTGAAATGAGTCGTGAACTGCAGTACAACACTGTAGAAATGGCAGCGATTGTTACTCGCAACGTCCCACTGATGAATGACGAACAAAGAACCATTTATGACCGCATTATGCTCGCAGTTTCAGCAGGACAAGGTGGGTTCTTCTTTTTGGATGCACCGGGTGGAACTGGCAAAACATTCCTTATTTCGCTAATTCTTGCTGAAATACGATCAAATAATGGCATCGCATTGGCCGTTGCATCATCGGGCATTGCGGCAACTTTATTGGATGGAGGCAGAACAGCTCATTCAGTATTTAAGCTGCCACTAAATATTCAAAATAACCCTGACGCAGTATGCAACATTAAAAAACAATCGTCCATGGCCACCGTGCTGATACAGTGTAAAATTATCATCTGGGATG